CCCCGCCGCCCCCCCGCCGCCCCCCGCGGCAACGGCGGGTGTGGCGCTGCCGCGGGGCCCTCGGCTGGCCCGCTGCCTCTGTGCCGGGTGACTGAAACCCGGGGTGAGGTCACCTTGCATCACCGGGTAATGAGATACGGCTTTAGAAGAGAATTCATGTTTCGAGCAAGGTCTGACAGAGAGATTTGCACCACTGTTACGATGACTGCAAAACCAAACAGTGATCTGTACAATGCCTGAAAATGAACATTACTGGATTTGTCTGAACAAGATACGCAAACGTTTCTTTGCGCTCAGCTCTTACGTGCCCTTTCAGGGCACAGAAACACATGGAAACGCACATCTCTTACATCAGCTGCTTCCTTCGGAGGGGGAACCTTCAAATGAGAGGTGGGATGTGCCCGGGGAGGAGCCGGGGCAGCCCATGGTACAGTGCTCCATGGTGATCTGGATGACTGAGGTGTAGACCACTGCTATCAAACTGAGCAAACTAAGTGTAGACCACTGCTATCAAACGTGACTGAGGTGTAGACCACCTCCATCAAACTAAGATTTTCCCAGCTGGGCCTTTACTGTTTCTCTTCTCAGAAACAGCGCTGGGAAGCGAGGCAAGCGCTGGGCAAGAGGCACTGCAGAGCTCCCTGGCACGAAACTCGGTTCCCCTGGTCCAGCTCTGGAGAGCTGTCCTGGCGTTGGGGACCCTGCTCTCCCGGCTGTTGGGCTGCGCCTGCCTGGGAGCGGGGCTATGGAGAAACGGCTGCAGGCTTGGCTTCCAGCCCAGGAGCCTGCATTCGGAAGATGAATATACCTTTAGGAACGCTGCATGGAAGAACTCTTCTTAAAGCCCCATTGCGTGTGTTTCTGTAGTCTCTGGATAACTAGGAAATGGCCTGTATGCTTTGATTTGGGATCTTAACCTTCTTTTTTCAGTCGCCAGCTGGGCAAGTAACAGCTGCAGTGATGGCTGCCATCAACGCTGGGTACCGCCACTTTGACCGTGCTTACGTGTACCAGCGTGAGAGTGAAGCGGGGAAGGGATCCAGCAGAAAATCAAGGAAGGCGTTGTGAAATGAGAGGACCTCTTCATCATCAGTAAGGTAAAGATCTGATGACCTAGGATCCTGGGGAAGGCCTGTTTTGTGTAGGACATGCTCCTAGGAGGAAATTCAGAGTGGTGGGGAAAGGCTGTGTGCAATAGCATGGAGTCATTCAGAACATAGTTCAGGTCAATATTGATGGAAGCTTCTTTTTGTCACTTTATCTTGTAGAGAGTTATCTAAGATATGTTCCACATCCTCCATTTTCATGGGACTGTTCAAAATATGTATTAAGCTCAAATGGTCCCAGAAAGCGTGCTGGGTTTTTTCCCCTCTTTATGCAGGAAATCCTGTATTTGGCTCACCACTGAAATGATTAACTTAAAACGAGTTCTTTAACCCATGTCTGACTGTAATAAATGGCTTTTACATGTCTTGACTAATGGAACACGATCACTTTTCCAGTTTACAACCCTGTTTGATCACATATGCTACCACAGCACATGCTGCCCTTGGTATCACAGGCCAGTCCTGCTCACAGAGCAAGCCCCATCAGAAGGGCGCTAGGATGGCCTCATTCCACATCGCCTTCCAAAGCAGACAGGTACTCTCCTCTCAAGAACAGGACAGAAGGATTACAAGAGCTTTAACCCAGGAGGTCACGGTGTGCCTTGGCTTTTTGTCTCTAGCTATGGTGTACGTTTCATGACAAACCTCTGGTGAAGGGAGCCTGCCAGAAGACTCTTGCCAACCTGAAACTGGATTACCTGGATCTCTACCTCATGCACTGGCCTCTTGGGTTCAAGGTACAGTAACAGCAATGCCCTTGGCGTTCCCGCCCGGGAGAGCTCCTCAGAACTGCCAGTAACGCTTGCAGCACTACCGCTGCTCCAGCCCAGAAAGACCATGTGCCTGTTGTGTGTACCAGCACTGCTCCGGTGCTGCTCATTCAGCTTTACTTTGGCCACGTGAGCCAGGCTCTTGATCTCTGCCCTGAAACTGATGCTTGCACAGCATCCTCTGCCCTTTTGATACCAGAGATGTAGGCTTAGCACTAAGTTCAGGCCTCCCAGCTGCAAGCGTGAGTTGTGCTGCTTTTGCTTTTGGCTATGCCTTGTCTTCTACAAATCCAAAGTATACTCATCTGCCAATGACAGCCTCCTACTTTGTGGGAAAGAAGGCTGTACTTTGCTGCCTGACAGAAATTCTTTTGTCTGCATGTTATAGAATCACAGAGCAAAGGAAAATGCTTCCATTTTCCATTTCTGTCTTTAATCACTGAGTCCTTAATACGGTACAGATTGAGCTGACCTTTGCTGCAGGAGCCTTAGTGTTGTTCCACAGACCTTGGATTTCAAAAGGTGAGACTTTATGACATCCAAGTTTCATACTTCATGTACATCAAAAGAGCTGACGTCTCAGTCTATTTCTAGTCTTAGCTTTTCCATTCTGTTATAGACAGGTTAAGACCTTCATCCTATCTGTTGCTTTTGAGCTTATCAACTGTTTATCATACTTTCAAAGCTGTCCTGGTTAGTTTTATGTGAACAAAGCCCTTGAGTAAAAGTGTCGTGGCATAATACTCTGACATCTGCACAACACACTAGGTGTAGAGCAATATGGAGATGTGGGGATCTAGCTCTGTTCTCATATATCTGAGATGTTCTGACTTTCCTACTACCACCAACTTAAACTGAGGCTCCCCTCGCAGGAGACCTGTGTGTGTACATAACACATTGTTCATCAGATGTGGCTCACCCTAGACCAAACTTAAATGTCCTTTGGACCTAAACAGGTCCTTATACTCTTCAAAAAAACAAATCTTAAAAAAAAAAAAAAAAAAAAAACAAAAAAACAAAACAGTTCTTGTTCTCCCTTAATAGGCATGATAGAGGAGTACAGCAAGCCTGTTCGTTCTGCTTTGTTCCACAAGTGGTATGACTTGTTCATCTGCATGTGTTTTGGTGAGTCACCACTCTGCTGGGTCCAGGAGATATACCTGTCCCTCCTACTAGGAATCACTGCTGGCAAAATGCCATAAACCTGCATGAACAATGTAGACAAGTATTAATATTTTCTGTACTAGAAGTTAAAGCTATCACGGTCCTCGGTTGTCTCGGTATTAACTTCCCAACAAAGTGTTTCAAGCATTTTCTTTGTCCCCGACAGGTAGGGGAGGAGCTGTTTCCCACAGATGACAAAAGCACATCAATACCCAGCAACACAGATATTCTACATACATGGGAGGCAAGTTCAGCCACGGTGGGAGAATCATGTTTTCTGTCTTTGGCAGTCTTTTCCATGCTTTCATTACCTTCAGCAGTCACAAAGTTCTTATGTATTTATCTTGTGTACAATGTAGCTTTTCAAAACATACATGCTTAGTCAAGCTGATAATCTTCAGTGGAGCTGCAGACCAGATTGCTTGACTGTAATAACCACAGAACTGTCTTTACCACAGTTCTTAAACTGTTCAAATACACTTTGCAGGAATAAAGATATTTTAGATTGCGATCTTGCCTGGGGTACAGTGCTCCAGTGCTGGCTTGATAGCACATAATTATAATTATTTTCCACATGTAACTAACTTGGTGTTTCTACCATCTCAAGAAATGAGCCTTTGTGCTTGGGTGAGATGGAAGACATGGCACAAATACACCAGTGCACACTTCTTCCCCAAAAGACAAACTGTGCAAGACCGAACAGTTGCCTTTCCCTTCCCATGAAGGGAAACAAGCCATACCAGGAAGAACATCTTCAGGCCCTGTCTTGTGTACTGGATGGTGACTTTGCTCCCCTTTGTGTTAGGCCATGGAAGAGCTGGTGGGTGCTGGTCCGGTAAAAGCCATTGGAATCTCCAACTTTAACCATGAGCAGATTGAAAGAATCTTGAACAAGCCAGGACTGAAGCACAAGCCTGCAAATAGGTAAGCTGCAAAGTGACTGCAGGTGAATAGTTTTCAGGGATTATAAAGATGTATCACAGTTGAATGAGGGGATGGAAAAAGGGAGAACAAAGTAAATAACAGCATGTTAACACCCTATGACTATTTCTGGGTACATGTTAGGATGTTGTAGATCTCCTGTATCCTGATAGGGGATGAAGCTGTGGTACACAAATTACCATCATAATGTCTTAAAATACCTTACTTGTTCTGTTATTAGTAATAGCATCAATCTGTTATTAATAGCAGATAACTGTTCACACAAAACATGCATTTCTTCTCACACATGCATGCACAATTCATTGTCACCCAGTTGGAAATGTGAGGTTAGTTTTAACTGTATATGCAGAAGCAGAGCATGTATTGCCACACCAGTGGCTTCCTGGTATCTGCCCTGAAGCCTTTTTTATTTATATAAAATAAAAATAAAGTGTGTGTATACAGACATACAAAAAAAATCACCTAGTCTGTGTCTGCATGTAGCAGCCATTGCCCTCTTGTATACAGTAGCTACATAACCTGCTGTAGATGCTTATTTCTCCAAGTGGCCTTGTACAGATTCAGACATCTCTTAAGAGTTCTGAATTCAGTAGTTCCTGCAGGTTCACTAAGAGTACTGGTCTCCAGAGTTTATCAGTCCTAAGGATACTTTAACACTTTCTCTGCATGTAGTTACCAAAAAAAAGAAAATGCATCTCCATCCAAAACTACAGATATCTCTAGAACCCCTTCACACAAACTCACAAGAAAGGGGCTTTTATGACAAGACCAGAGAAGGAGAGAACAGAGCCAATGCAGCATGTCCTTCTAGTCCCACTCCACATTATTACTGAATATACAAGGCACTGGGGTTTGCAATATTTGCTAAACTACTGCTTGGAAATCTCAGAGAAGCACCTCAGAATATGCCTTCTCAGGGCCAAAGAACCCAAAAATGAGCCTTATGAAATGCTCTTTCCCCAGAGCAAAGACCCAGAGATGCAAGAAGACTTACTGTAAAAGTAGGTGCTGTACAAAACTAAGGCTGAGTAACACTTTGCAAAGATGGGCACATTAGGGCAAAAATTGAACTGTAAGTGCATTAGAGGATAATCCCTAGAGTGAGTTACAGCAGTTGTATTGCTATCAATCTCTCTACTCTTGTGTTGGCAGATCAAATGTCATCTCTACTTTACCCAGGAGAAGTTGATCAAATATCGTCAGTCCAAAGGGATTGCTGTGACAGCATACAGTCCGCTTGGCTCTCCTGACAGGCCACGGTAAGGCTGCCTTGCAATTTGTGAGGGAGCTGGTATGGATTATGCTTGAAGCACTGAGAGAGTAAGTGCACTGTTAATCATTCATCTAAATACAGACTTCTGTTGCTATCTTTCCTCTGTGTAAGGCTAAGCCAGAGGATCTTTCCCTTCTGGATGACCCTAAGATCAAAGAGGTTGCAGCCAAGCACAACAAAACCCCAGCACAGGTAGGTAGGTGCCAGACAGTGGGTACCTCTTCCTGTAACACAGCATAAAGGACAGCTAATGACAATGTAAAGGACAGCTGGCTATTCATTCCCTGTCAACTGTGGTGATAAAGAGCAACGCAGGTTTGTTTACTATGTGGCCTGCAATGCATGCTTATAAGGGCTCTCTGACCATCAACAAGTAACATTTTCTTGACCCGTCTTCAGATGCTGTCATGCTTTAGTCTTCCCATCTCAAGTCCTATTGCAGAGAATGAAACCTTCATAAAAATCCAGGTGGGATGGAAAAGACTTGATTGTCCCAACACTGGATGGGAAAGGAGGTCTTCCATGTGAGGCTCCACCACTTTCCTCTTTACTCTTCAGGAAGTGCTAGCTGGGCTGCAGGGACAGGAATGATTTGAAATGCAGCTCTGCAGAAGTGGATATAGCTTAGGGAAAATAGCTGTTGGAACAGGCTCTGCTTCCTTCAGAGCAGGAGGAATTACCCAGTTTTCTGTTCTTGCAGGTTCTCCTTTGCTTCCAGATCCAGAGAAATGTGATTGTGGTTCCCAAGTCTGCCACACCACAGCGCATTGTGGAGAACTTCAGGGTGAGTGGTTACGAGTGAGCTGGGTGGTGCCCTTCAGGGATGGCATGCCTTCCCCCTGCAGAGCAAGCAGCGATCCTTTCTCACCCTTTCCAAGTCCTCCTCAGGCAAGAGGATTTTTTGCTTACAGTCTCTGATTTGTTCAGAGAGGTGATTTCCAGCTGTTTTTCTTATTAGGTGTTTGAGTTTGAATTGACAGAAGAGGAGATGGCAACTATTTTCAGCTTTAACAGAAACTGGAGGGCATATACAATGAGCACGTTAAGTGGTAGCATTCAGTATTTTTTTTTCCAGACCCTTAAGTTATGAACACTACATACACATATTTTGCATCTAAACATTGCCTAGAATGCTGAGAGCCTGAATCACTGACAAAGTGACTTGGGTGTTGCCAGTGTACAAACGGGCAATATTCTGCCTGTTGCAGATAAAACTGTTACTCTTTTTCAAATTAAAACTTCTAAAAGAAGGCCATGAACAAAATGTGGCAGAGGGATGCAGTACAAGTATTTTTAGTAATTCTGGACAGAACTAATAGATGTTAGCCTATCACAGCCAAACAAATGAGAATTTCCTTGCTGTTCTGTTTTTAAGATGTACTTTGTATTTCAGACCCACTCTGCACAGCTGTACCTGGCCTTTGCTCCTAAGTCACAGGCAGCTGCTGGAGTCTCTCCACTGGGGAAGCATCTCCCCTAACTCTAGGTACTGACCTCAGGGCCAACCTCTAAGCTTCAGTCACAGCCAAGGGAGATTCGGGCTGAACAAGGGCAACAGCATTCAGAATGATCTGTTACACCCATGGTGGGAGCTGCCCTTGGTTCAGACCCAGCTTGCTGTTCAAGTTCTCTAGACTTCATGCACCGACTTCTCCTGTGAACAAAGGTGAAGTACACACAGGTCGGCTGCAGCCACCTGCACTTCGGGGACACGAACCCTCCCTGGGACAACAAAGCCACTCGGCACTTTCCCCTGCCGGCACCAGAGGGCAGCCAGCCCTCAGAGAAGACCCGCGTTGCCCCCTCCCCGCCGGCCACCAGCCCCCGAGCTCTGGCCACAGCCCCCAGCGGTGCCGGGGGGATTTCACATGCCACACAACCCGGGTGTCTGCCCCCCGGTCAGGGGAGGCTCAGCCCCTCGGTGCTGTGCCCAAACCACCGGCCTCCCTACCGGCCCTGCCAGCCTCGGGGACCAATTCCCCAGGCAGCACCAAATGCTCTCAGCCCAGGGCACTCGGCACAGGACAGGCACTCAGGGATGATGGCCTATCCTGCTCCAACCATCTCCTCCAGCAGCCCCCTTCAACCCAGCCACCCCCTCCCACCACTACTCTGGCCCCACAGCCCCAGGGCTGCAGCTGGGGGCCCTGAGTCATCCCATAGCACTGCAGCAGCAGGGGCTTGCTCACCCCTTTGGGGGAGCAGCAGGGCCTGAGCCCACCCCAACCCCTTTGGCCTCTCTGCCACCAGCAGACCCTGGCCCCAGAGGGCACAGTGCAGAGACACAAGTCCCAGCAACCCAGTGACAGCAGAGCCAGGCACCTGAGCTCCCCACACACCCCTACATGCACAGATACCCACTGTGGAACATACCTGGCACAGGGGAAATGTGCAAGGGTAGGTCTCAAGGAGTTGATCCCCAAACCTCCTTCTCACTCAACACTCAAACTCAAACTGTCAAAACAATCAAGGTTCCTTTAACAACACCTGGTGAGATGAGGAGGTATTTGCTTTTGTGGCTGTGTCACCTTTCTGTTCCCTCCTACTAGGTAGGTGACCAAATGCATAATCATAAAGCTGCGTATCAGGTTTCATGGGAAAATGGTAAAACCTTTTATTCAAGGGAAGAGGCACCTTAGGACCTTCTTTCCAAAATTTCCACTTTCAAATCATGAACATGTAATCCAAGAACATTTGTTTTGCAGCTTCCTGAAGGAAGGAACCCATAAAACCCTCAGCAATCCCCAGGCTGAGGTGAGACAGCTCTGCTGAGACCAAATACACATTCTTATTGAACAATAAAGGTACAATATTTGCTAGGGTGCAGGGAGAGCCAAAGGTTTAGACCACTGTCTTTTCAGTGGTGTACCTTCCCCAGCATGGGTCACCCAGTCACTGCAGTGCCTTCAGGCGTTTCCTTGCTCCAGCATGGCTCATCCACCAGCTGCAGTCCCCTCAGAAGTAAGCATGGACCTCCTTCAAAGAGCGCACCTGTTTCCAACAGTGTGTCTGAGCCAGAGCACCATGGGTTTAAATTTTGGCATGAGACAGGGTGTTTACATCTGTTTTGGAGCTAGCTGGAATTGGTTCTGGCTGGCACTGAGCAGTTCATGCTCTCCACACAGGTCACCACTCCATCCCCTGGTACCCCCTGCAATTTATGTCCTTTACATTCCACCCTTCACCTCATTGAAAGATATATTAAGAATTGTTTCACCCTTATATAAGCTCTTCCTTTAACATCATCACAATCTTAATGTATATTCATTATAAACTCCATCCCTTGTCCCTGCAGACCAGACTAGTGTGGTTAACATCTCATCAGTGTGAACATAACACATGTCACAAACCCACCCCTTCCCCAGCAGACAAAATTATCAGGATCCACACTGCAACAAGTCTTAACATATACTTTCCAACCCCTTCTAAAACTTTTTCCAAGGTCACCCATACCATTGGACTCCCAGCATTATCCTTGGCCATGCTGCTAATCTCCTGCCTGTCTTTTGGCATGCTCCCTCCAGTATAATACATGTAAGTCACTCCTTGGTGTCCCACCAGCTTATCAGGTGATACCAGAGAGGCGGTAGTAACTGTGCTCAGACCTTGGAGCTTTCAGGCTACAGTATCACTGATCACCACTTTTTCAGGGTCTCTTCCCCCTTGCCTGTAAACACAATCCAGCAGTCCAAGCAACTGCAGTCGATTATGTCCTTCTTCCCAGTCCCTCTGTAGGAGAGCAGCAGGAACGGGCCATTGCTCCACACAGCCCTTCACTAGCGGATCCTAAAGCCCTCCTTGCTTGTGCAGGGCAGTGCTTGCAAGTAGAATAGAGCCCAAACTCCCCAGAACTCTGCTTTTCCAAGACAAAAGCTGTATCCCATTTGCTCCAGCTTCCCAGCACTGCCACAGCCACTGCAGGGACACGAGTTGCTGCAAGTGTTCAGCATTTCTGTAATTTCACTGTGAGCAAAAGACTGTCGAGAGAGCACTCACACTCTGGGGAGCAGCACTCCCATCTCCACAGGTCTATTTAACCTTGCAACTGAGGCTGCCTAAAAGGGCTTTGTTTTTACTTCACCATCACTCCTCAGTTTCCCCCCAGAGGTGCCAGGGTCCCCCTCCAAGGCAATCACTTTAAGACCACTGGCTGCTCCCTCAGCTGCAGCCTGGCCCACCTGGCTCACAACTTTCCATCTGGCCAGTTCAGTGCTACTGCTCAATTCAGACCAAGAGCCTCCCCTTCGCACTTGTTAATGCACATTACTCCAACAAAGATCATCAGCCTGACTCTCCAGCTCTGCTAAGCGGTCCTGGTCTTTCTGACGCCCCGTTTGTAACACATAGTAAGCCCCAGCACACAGCCGCATCACAGCAGCACACCTCAGTCCCTGTGTTTCACAGCCACCCCCTCTGCAGCTCCCCATCCAGTGCGCTTTTGGATCCTACATGTGGAGACAGCACTGCACCAGGCCACTGGGGCATGGGCTTGGAGGAAGCACCTGTCCACCTCTTCCCAATCACCTTCCCACCCAGCAATGGTCTCCCCAGGTCCCTCCTTCCCCCAGCTGTCCGCACGCTGTCTGCACTTACCCCTGGACACACACCGGCTGCACCATTTCCACCACCGCTTATTCCCAGGACCAGGATCATGGCTCTTTCCAGAGTCCCTCTCGTTATTCCAGTTCTGGGCTGTGACTTCTCCAACAGCTACTGTCCCAGGCAAAACAGTCTCATCTCGGGGCAATCTAAGCTGATTTATCACCAATTAACACAAACTCCATTTCACTGATTCAGGTACTGATAGGGTAAAAAAGAACACAGAAAACCAAAACACTTCAGTAAATGCCTTTCTCCCCCTTCCCCAGCCTCTGTCTAAGCCAAGCACCAATCCTCTGCCTGTCCCCGTCTCCACTTCCCCCATTTTCACCACAGATTACACCCAGTCCATCCCAATCCCTCCCCTGAGGCGAGGGCAGCTCGGAGGGTGCGGCTGGGTGCCTGATGCTTCCCTTTACCACTCAGTCCTGCTTACTGTGCCTTAGTGCTCCCAGGCGGGCAGGCCGCTGTCCCCAGGGCTGCCACTGCCTGGCGGGGGTGGCCCAGGCCGCAGGCCCCTCAGCAGCCAGCCCCTTCGGGGTGAGGTGCCACCTTCCTCCTCCCCTGGCAGCGGGGAGGGGAGGGGGGGGGGGCGCCCTCCTGCCCAGGTCTCACCTGCTGGGCTAAACCTGCCTTTCCCACCCAGTAACTGCCAGGAGCGTCAGGAGAGCTTCCTCAGCGCTCAGCCGTGCCTGCGGCCTGATTTTCAAGCAGACGGGATTAACGGACAAATACCAGTGCAAAGACAAAAAGCCTCATCAACTCTGAGAAGACAGGAGATCCACCAAAATACGTTCCTGGCTTGATCTGAGCTTAGAGAAAGAAACAGGCCAAGGTCTTCTATGGTGGGGTTCAGCCAAGACCCTCAGATCTGCCTCCCTGCGCATGGAGGTTGAACTGGAGCACCCCACCGAGCAAGATAAACCTCCCCTTCTAAAAGCTCCAAGCAAGGGAGAAATTCCTGC